AACAGAATGTACCAGGATACAACAACATATACAACTGAATAGAGCCAAAAAACTTTAACCAAAAAACTAATTAAACATTAAAGAAATATTAAAGAATTATTAAAGAAAAGGACGATTGTCAAACTCCTCATTTAAACCTTTTGGAGACAATGTATCTAGAGTGAAAATTTAAAAGGCTTCACTTGTAACAGCAATTTGTAAAGATCTTCTCTCTGACGTGGACGATTCACAACTTCAATCCCTATGTATTGTAGAGTGGAGACAGAATGTCTCATAACTGAGAAATGCTGCGCAACAGGACTTCTAGGATCACAATGTCGAATAGGGCATCGATGTTCAGAAATGCGAATTTTTAAAGGTCACATTTTTAAAGTCTATATATTTATTTCTTGTAGAACAACATACTGTATATTACACTATAAAACCAAAAAAACAACATTTTTCTTACACAAATATTCACTCAGTAAATAAACATTTTAATAGATTATCAATAAGCATACATATTCTGCTTTGTCCCCTAAATTTGTTTCTTAAAGGTGTGTGAGATGAACATCTGAAAATAAAGAAAACATTAATAAATACAATAATGGTAATAAATAGCAATGGTTCCCTTCAAAGATGCGAATTAAATTGGAATAACGCACTAAAAACGTGCGAATAAAGCAGTGTTTCCATCCAATAAGTGAAATAGAATAAAATCGTCATTTTCTGATAAACTGACACCAAATATTAAAAGTAAAAATGAAATTTACTGCAGTAAGAGAAGCTGCGTGAATCTTTTCCTTATTTAAAAAATTACTTGCGCCTTGGAAGACGATGCCGACACGCAATGAATGCGTGGTGGCGTTTGAAGGCATTACGTAGAGCATAGAAGCTCTTGACTATTCTGGAGGTAATTATTAACACTAATGCTGAATAGGGTATTTGTTAACAGCACAGCCACATCTTTAATGGATAACTGCGGTCTCCTGATATGCAGTTAAATAATTACGCTTAATAAAATTAAAAAATTTAAAAACTTAGCAGGAATATTATCTTTAAATACATCACTCACCAAGAAGCCATCCATCCAGCCCCCTGCCACCTTGGAGCCTCCTCGCTGTCTCTCTTTCCAAATTTGGACCCAACTCAGCACAGAGCTCCAAGAGGATAGCTCTTGGAAATCTAAAACGGCTAATAAGCCAGTCATCATCGTAGGCCAGAAAATCACTGTAATCCCTAAAAACGCGTTCCCTTCAGATTCAACCATTGACAATGTCCTTCAATAAGGCCAACGCTGCCATTGCCATAGACTAAGGGTTGTATTCATTTACCAATCCTTTTAAATGTTCTAAATCACATAATTGGTAAAAAAAAAATAGTGTCAATGAACTCATTTTATTAAATATAAATGAATAGCAATGTTTTTCACATGTGTTGGTGCGATACTTTGTAGTGTGCAATTTAACATAGTTGCCTCAAGGAGTCGCCAATGGGAAAAAAAAAAAACAAACACACACAAGAAATACACGTACACATTGCAATATGTTTGTATTTTTCAGGGTTGCACACCACCAAAAAGAATCCCGGATTCAGCGACCCCTAACCGACCACAACACTTGGTTAAAAACAGCCAACCTAACCCCAAAGCCACAAGGTCACCTGCCAGCCTAAGCGAGATGCAGCACCCGATGAACCAACGTCTACAGTGAGGGTAAAACCCACCACAACAACAACCGCTCACTGGCCAAAACTGTGTTTTTCTTAAAGCTTTTTCAAATTAAGAAGTGTTGTATCTTATGCAGGTGGTTTTATGTGCATTTTAAACACTTGATTACTAATAACAAACAACTAAAACACTTTTTTTCTTGCTTCATCAATGCCTATCTGTGTCTTTTGCTCTCATTCATGCATTTAAAAAAAAAAATGTAGGTGATTTTTTTGTGCACTCTCTATGGCTTATGTACGTAAAAAACAAACAAACAACGATGATGACGATGAATGATGTTAAAGAAATTGAACATTTGAAGGGATGTGACATCCTGTACTGTATTTACTGTAGTCAAAATGCAAAAAAAAACAGTATATGCTTTTTTCTTTCTCTCAAAAAATGCCATAGTTTATGCTGTATTGAAGTGTCTCACGATGCACAACCGTTCATGAAAGGCATGAATTGTGTTTTACGTGTGATTTGGGAGGATAGCCATAAAGTGGACAAATGATGAATGGATGGAGGGATTCATATTTTTACTAGCCTTTTTGTAAGAGTAAGGAAAACCGACATATTATATTGCCTTATAAAAAGGTACCAAAATATATATCTATATCTATATATATGAGATCAAGTATGCAGCATATGCCAAAATTGACTTGAAATCTAATTAATTGAAAAGTGTAGCATAGTATTATAATATGACATAAATTTGCTACAACTAAGCAAGTACGGTGTTACAGAAGTAACATTAGGCATGTGTTCTTATAAGAATGAGTCTTATGCATGTAGTTTGGACATATGAATCATAAGGGCTTTGTATGTCAAGAAAGTCCCATATTTTATTGGGCAGTTATAGAACGGATGTCTACTGTAAAAAGAGTCATACATGGCAAATATCCCATTAAGTAGTTGCTACATGTTACTGTACTTTAAAAACCTTTCTTTAATTTATTTTTGGGGTTAAAAGTCTGTTTTGTTGCGATGAATCAAGCTAGATAATCGGATTATGAAAATAACATAATGTGTTGTGTAAATTATTACAAATGCCACTGTTGTTTGATTTGTGTTGAAATGAACATTGTCCTTTCTGTTTAACTTCGGTGGTGCGGGGGATGTGCAAATATCATGTAATTAAGGTTTTCTTTTCAAAAGTTTTTATATCAATCAAATCACCCTCTTTTTTTGGCCAACAACGAAGGACATTCTGCTAAAAAAAAATGCTACCAATGTAAAATATTGTGCTTCAGATGTTAAAAAAAGACAAAAAGACCAAAAAAAAAAAGCCTCGTTGTGAACCTATGTGAAAAAATTGTGTAATAATCATTATGTGTACATCATCATAACAAATAAGATGTTGACTTCTTTTCCTACTTATACAACACTAAACAACCATATTTGCCAGATGTACTGTATATTTCCCTTCGTTAATGTAAAAAAAAGCGCTTTAAATGTTCTTGTTACTTTTCTTTTCTTCCTGATGATTTTATTGAGCATATTGTAAAATAACCATCATTTCAATGGTTTAACACTTTGGAGGACTCATGTTTTTGTGGGTTACACACTGAATCAAATCTAATAAAAACTAAGAAACATTTGATCATTTTAAAAATGATAAAAAGTGAGTAATGTTGTCTTTTTTATTCTCCAGTGATCGACAGTGGTGAAGTACAGTATCTATATTTACTCTTCTACACCCAGAACATTATATCATTCTTTTTACTCAACAAAATTTCATAAGAATGTAGTTTGTTATCTGCGCAACTAACCATGGTTTTGCTATAAAAAAAGAAAATAAAGTAATAACAAGTAAAGCATTTAACCACTGTACTTGCAGTAAAACTGTGGTTATACATATGGTAATCAGTCACCCAAGAATTATTGCTTTTTTACACTGTAATGAACCATGGTTCATTTTTGGAATAGGAATTTTAAGCTTATATTAATCAACATGGGGGCCAAGCAGTGGCGCAGTAGGTAGTGCTGTCGCCTCACAGCAAGAAGGTTGCTGAGTCGAGCCTTGGCTCAGTTGGCCTTTCTGTGTGGAGTTTGCATGTTCTCCCCGCGTTCGCGTGGGTTTCCTCCGGGTGCTCCGGTTTCCCCCACAGTCCAAAGACATGCGGTACAGGTGAATTGGGTTGGCTAAACTGTCCGTAATGTGTGAATGTGTGTGTGGATGTTTCCCAGAGATGGGTTGCGGCTGGAAGGGCATCCGCTGCGTAAAAACTTGCTGGATAAGTTAGCGGTTTATTCCACTGTGCTGACCCCGGATTAATAAAGGGACTAAGCCAGGGGTGGGCAAACTCAGTCCTGGAGTGCCGGTGTCCTGCATAGTTTAGCTGCAACACTAATCAAACACACGTGAACATGCTAATCAGAGTTTTCAAGATCTCTAGAAATCTATAAGCAGGTGTGTGTGATTAGAGTAGGAGCTAAACTGTGCAGGACACCAGCCCTCCTGGACAGAGTTTGCCCACCCCTGGACTAAGCCGACAAGAAAATGAATGATTGAATAATCAACATGTTAAATTTTTGTCATTTTTATATGATAAATAATATGGTATTTTGTTATTTTAAACACTTTAATCATGATAAATTATTATTACACACAATGTTTTATCACCCTCATGAAAATGAACAATGGTTTTACAACGAATGTTACACAAGTGTACAGATATATAGTTAAACTGATTCATTTAGCAAAACTACGGCTAATTTTTGATTAGGCTACTATGGGTTAAGTAAAAAAATAAATAAATAAAAAACTTTTATTTGGTTTATTTGTAGTAGTTAAATTTTGGTTTAAATAGATAAAAACGTGTTGTTTATTTGTAGTAAAACCAAACAACTTAAATATAGTTTAGAAAAGCATGGTTAATTGTTGGTTACCATTAAGGGCGTAGCAACCGTGGAGGACGGGGGAATACGTCCCCCTCACATTCAGAGACCGGCCATTTAGAAACAGGTGATTAATAATTATATGAACACAAACTTTTGGATCTCCTTCAGCTGTCCCCCCACTTTTAAAATGTCCACTACGCTCCTGCCATATTACAACACAAAAACAATCTCTCTTTTTTTGTGTATTAAACCAGTTAAACTGCTGTATAGGCCGTCTTAGCAATGCCATTATTCATTGGCAGTTACTGTGTTGTTGCTTTTTTTGTAGTAATACTTTGTTTAAAGTGATTATTATATGCTCCTCGTCCATTTTAAATTCATTAACTTCTTTAAAAATCACCATTTCTTATAGCCTTTTATAAGTTGTCCACTAGAGAGCAGCACTACCTCTCCTATCCAGTACGCTAAACTAAAACTTCCTTTGCCAAAATCATTCCTGGCGTTGATGGAGAGGCTTTTATTCCATTATGTCCTCTAACTCTAGTTTAAGCACACTCCGAGCCGTATTTTTTACTCCTGCTTTAGATATTACGGTGCCTTCCGTTTGTTTACATCCCCGTCCCTTAAGGGATCTGATCAGTCACATCTCTACCTACCAAGGTGTCTTTTCTGTCGGACTATCCGGGCGGGGCAGCTGTCAGAACGGCTGAGGTGAGTTTCTTTGACCGCTGCCGGAGGGCGAAAGCGGCCTGTCCACTTCAATCTCCTCTCTGGCTCTTTATCTGTGACAGCAAAGCCATTCAGAGCCGCTTGAGTCACATCAATAACCGCAGGGACGAGGCTTCTGTCCGCCTCAAATGTCTGACTGTTTAAATCGCATTAACTGCAGGTAAAAAACAGTTAAACCGAGTCTGTGTGGATTTTGGTGTGATTCACTCGATGGTTTCTGGTACGGTGATATATATTGCTTTAATTTTGACCAAAAAGCTCTAACAATTAGCCAAAACAGAGTGAAATTTAGGACATTGATGTAAATTAGCCTAATTTTAATATATGGTTCAGAGCTGTAACCAGTGTTGGGGGTAAAGTATTACAAGCAACGCAAGTAGTTACGTATTTATAAAACTTTTCTAAGTAACGAGTAAAGTAACGCATTACTTTTTAAAATAAATAGTAATATTTGAGTTACTCTTTTTTAAAAATGCAATGTTACTTTTTAGTTTAATTAATTAGCTTTAAAAAAAATAAATTGCTGAATTAAAATTAAAGTAGCCACAATGAATCATGCAGGCAATGAGAGAATGTGTGTATTATTTATAACACATCGAAGAAAAGGAAAAGGGGATTATCTCAATGGACAGTGACTTTGCCTATAAAAAAAATTGTACAAAAGTAGCAAGCACATTACATTCAGTAATCTTTACGGCATGTGTAGCTCTGGAGGAAGTTCTCAAATAACATCCTAAAATAATTACTTTTTGATGTGTTTTTTTAAAGTTAAATGTAGATGTAGCTAATACAATGTGTCATTAATGGCAAAACACCTTTATTAAATGAAGCAAGCAAAAAAAATAAAAAAACTTTGAAAGAGATCAAGCCTCAGCCAGGTAATAACGCAAAACTAACTCAAAAGTAACAACACATTACTTACTATAAAAATTAACTAAGTAAAGTTGACTAGTTACTTTTTTGGGGAGTAACTCAATAATATGGAAGTTTTTTCCTAACAAAATTCAAATGAAAATTCAAATGCTTAAAAGATCAAATGATAAATCAAATGCTCAAACTATAAATCGAATGCTCAAACCGACATTGCAAATGATAAATCAAATCCTCAAACCGACTCCTCAAATAATAAATCAAATGCTCAAATGCACTTTGCAAATGGTGAATCAAATCCTCAAACCGACTCCTCAAATGAAAAATCAAATCCTCAACCTAACATCGCAAATGGTGAATCAAATGCTCAAACTATAAAACAAATCCTCAAACTGACATCGCAAATGGTAAATCAAATGCTCAAACAACTCTGCAAATGGTGAATCAAATGCTCAAACTATAAAGCAAATCCTCAAACCGACATCGCAAATGGTGAATCAAATGCTCAAACAACTCTGCAAATGGTGAATCAGATTTGCGTGCACTATTCCAAGTCGTATCCGTATAAACTCATGAAAGAGAAAGTGAGAAATCTCCTACTGCTTCTGTCCACATTCTAAAGTGTTCATCAGATGGGTACATCTCTCACAGGAGGCCACGAAAAAGCATACGGCAAGATGATGATGCTACGTCACATTGTGGAAAACTGAATGGATGCAGACATCTTACATGTAGGTAAATAAATGCAGAAAGACGGTTCCTTGAGTTAAGTTACAGTAAAATAGCAATAGTTGAGCTACTGTACAGTGAACTGTAGAATTACTGAAAGTGTAACGATGCTTTACAGTATATTTATTTTATCTTGCTGTAAATTATCATGTAGGAACTTCTGTAAGCACATGACGTTACGTTTCAAACGTTAATTTACATAAAGACGATTATTCAATGTCTGACAGAAAAATATAAGAGGTACTGCAGATTAGCAAATTATAACATTAAACAGACGTCTGAGTGATTTGTTTATGCTGATGCAGAATGCACTTTTGTCAATACAGCTTAGGTTAGATACACGTAATATTAATACAGTAATGTTTTCTTCTGTTCATTTGGTGATACATTTATGAAAGTATAATTTTGAGCACACAAATCACAGAGGTAACGTGACTTGTCTGGTTGTTATAGAGAAGGAAGCACACATGTTTGTGTGTTAGCTGATGCAGAGTGACTGAACAAATGCTATCATCATATTTGTTTAACAAAATATTGTTATTTTAAACAGCTATTACAACAATTTCTTTAATGTTGATTTATATGCCATTTCTGGGCTGGAGCAGGACTTGCAAGGCAAGAAAACAGAGAAAACCTGAATTCAAAACATGAAGTAAGATCATGTTATTACTTCCAATTCAGAACTCAAATGAAACTCAAAAAGTGTGCTGTTAAATGACTTCTTTATTAAGAGCTTTGCATAATCTGAAATGTCCTCAGACTGGTGTGTGCAGTGATGACGATGAAGAACAGCAGTGTGCTGATGAAGGAAATGTTGAAGATGCTGTTGTGCCGTGGACAAGATCCTGCATCCCTCCACCTGCCTGCATGTCCTCATCTGAGCCAGATGCTGGTGTGGTCTCTTCATCTTCAGTATGAATCGGTTTCTCAGGCATGGACAGCCTCACCTCACAACTCTGTTCCAGTCAAGTGAAGTCCAGCATGCAGCAAAACATGGAGTTTTGTCTAAAATACATGATTGTTTAAATAAGTTTAAATAAAGCTTAGTTTCGTATCTTGTTGACTTGTATTTATTTATCATGGTTACTATTATTAATTCTTTTAATCATACATTCATATTTTTTTTTAATTGTTGATGAATAAATTAATAATTTCAGTAATGTATAACTACATTTTTTTTCTATTTTTGACTGAAAACTAAGATGTACTCACCTTGGCTACATTTGTCTAGTGACTATTCATGCATAGCTGTGGCGCGCGCGTGTGTGTGTGTGTGTGTGTGTGTGTGTGTGTGTGTGTGTGTTTATTACATGGTGGGGACCTCAGCATGTTAGCACACTCACAAAGTGGGGACCAAAAACATATGTTTTGCCTTTAAAAGACTCAGGGGGCGTTGCTGATATGCCTAGTGCAGTTTTTTTCACTGATCCCCACCTTGACCATTTACCTGACTTGAGTGTGTAAGTGTGTGTCGGCGCAATGCTCTATAGCGCTCCTGTAGTCGGATGGCGGTACTGCACCCTCACACACTTGGCGCAGTTCACACCCTCTGGCTATTGCACATGCGCAGATCTCATAAATGAATCCGACTTTAATCAACTTAATTAAGATCTATCATCAAATTAATCGAATTTTCGGGTAAGTTAGAATGTTTTTCACCATCATAATGTAATAAAATCGGTTATATGACAAATATTTATGTTGCATATTTTGACAGTTATCAGGTATAGTTGATTAAATGTTATAACGAATTTTCTGGGTGTTTTAATCGATGTTGTTTCCAATTACCTATTAATATAACACTGATAAGACACAAGCTACAGTTCGGTATGTAATTTAACTTGTTTACACGAGTAAAAGTTACTCGCGCTAATGTGCTAACGTGCTAACTGCCCAGAGCTGCGTGAGTCAGAGGCCGGGGTGGAGTGCGTGAGCAGCGGTCGGACAGTCACCAATCACCGGGCAGCTAAATGGATCGACGGAGGATAAAACCATTAAAAGATGCGGAGAAACAAATCACCAGCTCCACCGACAAGACCCATTCACTGAAAACCGAATATATAGAAGGTTACAAGGTATGTTTTCATAGTTCTTGTATCGTACTTTTTAAATGGTTAATTGCTTTAAACATTTAACGTTAATCCTGAAATAACACTATTATATAACGTTACTATTTATACGTTAATGTAGTAATATTGAGGTTATAATTAAAATGTGGGGCCATGTGGTCCTAGAAATGTACTTAATTTATTGTTCTATGACGTGTAGAAACATTTTATTTAAGATTAATAATTATAATAAACTCCAACTTAGTGTAAAACATATATAAAAGTACATAAATGTACACTGTATGTTTTATTTATTTATTTGCTGTCAACTGGTAGCCTTTTACAATAAGGTTAAATTAGTTAATGCTGGTTAATGCATTTACTAACATGAACAATGAATAAATATTTATTACAGTATTTGTTCATGTTTGTTAACTTTAGTTAATGAAAATAAAGTTCTTCATTACTAGTTGAACACGCACAACGCATTAACTACTGGTAACAAGCATGAATTTAGATTTGAATAATGCATTAGTAAATGATGAACTATGATTAATAAATGCTGTACATGCATTGTTCATTACTAGGTCGTGTTAGTAAGTACATTAACTAATAAAACCTGATTGTAAAGTGTGACCTGTAAACAATTGAAGTGGAAAAAAAGTTCTTTAAAACTGTCCTAAGAAAGAAGAACAGGTGTTCAATAGTATTAGAACAACATTGAGGAAAGGTTCTGATCCACTTCAAAAGGTTTACTGTATTTATAATTCACACACTGAGAGAGGATGCTAATGTGAGGTTTTTGTAGTTTTTGAACCCTACACGTTTCATTAAAATCTTTTAGGTCAGAGTTTGCGATGTCCACATTTATTAAAGGAAGTTTCGTGGTTGAGTACAGATGATAGAGCTTGTGGAAGCAAAGCATAGATGAGATATTAATAAAAATACTGTCTTTATGTTTGACTTTATATGGTAAAACAAGAACAGGTGGTTAAGTGTTTTCCCCATTCAAATATACATGTATATATTATATTCATTCTGTTTGTATTCATGTCATAGTTTAGCTTTTTATTGCTATGAGAGGGCATAATTAAAATGTTGCTTGCTCTTTTCTCTTAGTTTTGCAGCATTGATGCCGATCATGAGGACGAGACCCTCGGCCGGCTGGTGAATGATGACCATCTGCACCCTAACTGCACTGTCAATAAGATCGTTGTTCAGAGAAAACCTTATTTGTGCCTTTTTGCAATTAGGGATATTTTCCCTGGAGAGGAAATAACGTTTGACTATGGCGCATGTGATTGGCCTTGGAGAAAGGTTTGACATTTTGATCACTTAATACATTAATCCTTAATAAATTCAGCAAAGCTAAGAGTTTTTTAATGTTAATGTAGATTAAGGGTAAATCTGTTCAAAAATATAGAGTTTGCATCATCCATAAGAGACAATGAAGTCAATCTCTTAATATCTTCTTCTTGTCTTAATGGGTAAAAAAAAGTTAAATGAATTGGGTAATGCTTTACTTTTAAGGGGTGTTCATAAGACTCATGAAACCTTTATAGTCATGACATGACTTATATAACAAAGCTGTTTTTTTAATAGCTTTCATTGAAGGATGCCTATATGACTTATAAATTCTATAGAATGAATTTAATCAGACAGTAAAGCTGTACACCGTCTCCTGTGATGGTTGGGTTTAGAGGTGGGGTGGGGTGAGGGCAATACAATATACGGTTTGGACAGTATAAAATGAATGGAAACCTATGTAATGTCCCCACTTTACACAAAAACAAATGTGTGTGTGTGTGTGTGTGTGTGTGTGTGTGTGTGTGTGTGTGTGTGTGTGTGTGTGTGTGTGTGTGTGTGTGTGTGTGTGTGTGTGTGTGAACAGCATTTATTATTTTTGTAAGTGTTGGGGTGGGCTTTGCAGTCTAGAGTACATTTTTCGAGTGTAAAATTTCTCCAAAGGAAGATCTTCAAGCAGCTGTCCGACATCTTTGTGCAGACGTACCAATGTGGCAACATTAGAAAGGCTATCGGGTAGGGTTATCAAGTTACTGATGCTATTAGGTGTTATTGCTTCTGTCCCTGCTATTTTATTTGTATTATTATGGGATTGTTATCAATAACAATTATTATTAATCATTATTATGCAGAAATAAAAATTTCATACAAACTTAGGGAAACATTGCTGTATCTTCCGCATTAAAGCTCCGCCTATGCTGGTTGATTGACACCTCATTTGCATTTGATTTATCATTTGCGATGTCAGTTTGAGGATTTGATTCACCATTTGCGATGTCAGTTTGAGCATTTAATTCACCATTTGCGGAGTCATTTAAGGATTTGATTCACCATTTGCGGAGTTGTTTGAGCATTTGATTCAACATTTGCGGAGTTGTTTGAGCATTTGATTCACCATTTGCGATGTCGGTTTAAGGATTTGATTTATAGTTTGAGCATTTGATTCACCATTTGCGATGTCAGTTTGAGGATTTGATTTATTATTTGAGGAGTCGGTTTGAGGATTTGATTTATCATTTGCAATGTCGGTTTGAGCATTCGATTTATAGTTTGAGCATTTGATTTATCATTTGATCTTTTAAGCATTTGAATTTTCATTTTCATTTTGTTTGGAAAAAACTTCCATAGTTTTGTTTAAAAATACAATCAAAATGTTATTACATTATACAGTATACTTAATTGTATATGTTGTAAAACTTCAGGGCACCTTGAACATGATGAACAATGTTTTATTTTGTAAAATAAAATGAATTAATACTTTAGTTTAAAATTGTTTTATTCATTTTATTATTATTTTGTTTATTGTATTTATAGTTTAGAATAATTTATATATTTTAACACTAGCTATTTCTTAGGAACAAATACAATTTCTTAGCTGTAAGATTTAATTTTTTAAATTAAGATGAATTGAGGTGGTTGTTTATTTAACTTTTATTATATGTTCATTTATCGACTAATTTATTTAGTTATTTTGTCCTGGAAATCTGATATATGGCAGTATGAAAATTACATGACATACAAGTTCATATTTGGGCTTTATATATATAAAATATGTCATAAAAGTATATTTTGAAATATAAAAAAAAACATTAGATATTTCAGTAATAGGGAAATCAATAACGTTTTATATATATGTTAATATATGGCCATAGAGAAAGATTTGAACATGTGTACATATATTTGTAATTTCAGTGGTTGGAAAAATACATTGTATGCAGTCATTGTGGCTATATTTCTAAATATATGTTGCATATGACATATTTTATTTATGTAAAACCCAAATTAGACTTGTATGTCATATATATAATTTAAATATATTTTCATACTACAAATTTCTATATGTTATCACTAATATATTTCAACACTTCAAATAATGTATTTGATTAATGTGATTGATCATTTATGTGTGCAGAATGTTTTGTCTGTCAAATCTGTAAAACAAGTAACTTTAGTTAATCTCTTATATAGTTTTTTTTTATTATTTAATTACTCTGTGAAAAATGTTACTATGAAACATCTTTATATGCAAAAAACTATTAAGAATGGTATAAATGGTACTTAAGAACCACGTTAAACACATTAAATAAGCTCACCTCTCACTAATCTATTGGCTTTGGCCATAAAGCAAGAGCAGCAACTTTACATTGGTCTTGGTTAGCAGCTGCAAAGATACGTGGACCGGGCCGTGCCGTACGCACGCGGCTATATGCATACACAGAAAAAAATTACATCATGTTTGTTTTTGCGTTTGTCATAAAATATTTTTTTAAATGTAACAACATATCAAATTATATTATTTACACTCAGTTTATGTTAATATTAGTGCATAAATATTGATATATTTTTTGAGCAACCTAGTTGGTGCCCTATGTAGACTGCGTACTCTGCACGTAGGGAGCAGCAGTACTGAATAGAAACCTA